TTCGCCTCTGTGGGGCCGCGGCGTGTGGGGCCCTGGCGGTGCTGGTGCCACCCCAGGGTGAATTGTTCACGTCAGTTCGCCTGGGATTGACGGAACCTGGGTGTTCTCACACTATTTCTGCTTTAAAAACTGCTAGTTAAACTGTTTAAACGGTTAATCTCTATTTCTGCTTTAAAAATTGCTGATTAAACTGTTTAAACGGTTAATCTAGCAGTTCAGGATGGTCACAGAGGAAGTAAACACAAATGAGGAAAAAATCTCAAAACCCAGATGTTTTAGAGGTAATAGCACTGCAGAGAATGTGCATAGGAGCATGCTGCTCCATGTGGTGAGCCTGCAGGTAGCAGTGTCAACCCTGGAACAAATTTTTAAATCTCTGGAGTGCTAATCTCAAACTGGTTTTGTAAAGTCATTCTGAACTCATAGGAGCTCAATTATTCATGGAAGCACAGCACTTGGTAGCTCGAAATGGCACATTCAGTCTAAAAATGTATTCCAGAGAGCAGAAAACAATATTAGCAATAGGATTTGACCTCATAAGTATGTGAAAATACATCAACGGTGCATAAATATGACACGGTGAGACAAATATTGCTTTAAATAGCCTTCAAATGTATTGTGGAGCTTAGTGCAAGCAGAATTTACAAAACCACAAAGCTGAAGGAAAATATTTAAGTTTGACAAAGGAAAGGTCCATCAGCAATTGTTACCACTCAGGTTCTGTTACAGCCTGTGTTTCAGGCTTGCAAGCTCCCTCTTGCTGCAGTTAAGGAAAATCCAGACAGCTTTTCTAGGAACACTTATATGTATATATATACACACATATATTTATGCCTACCTCTATGTTCAATTTATTTATTTAATTATTTTGTACAGCCTTGGCTTTTCCCATCATTGGGAAGAGACAATGGAAAATAAACATGTCAGGAAATTGTGAATAAACCTCCTGCTGCCCTTCTATTAGGTAATGAATTTTCATTTGTGATTTTTAAAAATGAAGTTTTGAAAGATTTTAATTTCTGTGTATACAAACCACAGCTTAAGCAAAAGTACTGGCTAATTTGGGCAGCTGTACATCAATTTAAGAACAATTGTGCGAATCAATGGTAGTAAATTTTCTCTGTAACAATTATACAATATAGCCAGGATGATATATCCATTTTCTACTTCATCTTTCATAATGGTCATCATTTCTGCACAGAAAAAAAGCCCAAAGAAAATTTAATCACAACTATAAAGAGTGTTGAAAACCACAAAAAGTAGTTTTTATGTGGTTAAATAATATCCTGATTGATAAAGTGATGTTCTAAAGAACTTAAAAAACTCCATAAATTTATAAAATCATCTTGATTGAGGAAATGGCCTCAAGTAGCCCCAGGAGAGGCTTAAGTTGGATACTAGGAAAAATTTCCTCAGGTTCCCAAGCATTGGAATAGGCTGCTCAGGGAAGGGGTGGAGGATCCATCCCTGGGGATGTTCAGAGACCTGTGGATGTGACTTAAGGACATGGTTTAGTGGTGGCCTGGGCAGTGCAGGGCAAAAGGTTTGGCTTGATCCTAAAGGTCCTTTCCAACCTAAATAATTCCATGCTTACCCAGAAAACAGAAGCATGAGATGTAGTGGATCAGAAATTGCTCCTGAAGTGTGTGATTTAACCTGGAAAAGATCACCAGCCAGTCACATTCATGTCAGATATCCCATTTCAGTAAATCCTACATAGATTTTTAAAAATAAAAGGAAAATTAAATTGGAATTAAGAATGGAAAACCTGTGAGCAGTTTTATTAGATATTTTATCAACCGTATGTGTGGTTTAAATACTGTAATATTACTTGGAAATAAAGACACATATTATTGCACCTCTATTACCAACATCCTTTGTTCATCTGCCTGGGCCTCCCTGCAGGTAGGACACCACTCAGAAGTGACTGATTAATTCATGCTGCTCTGTCTGGAGGTAGGTGCCATTCCTGGTGTGTTCTCAATGAAAAAGGCAAACAGTCCAAAGGGAGTGGGGGGGAGGGAAATAACCCCAAACCCCCTCATCCACAGGTCTCTGATGTAAGGATTCTGTTTCTAGGAGAACAGATCCAGCACAAACATAAATATTGGTGTTTGCCCACCATTCATTGAATACACAGATAATGTTCATTCTTCCTGGGGAAAACCCCAGGCACTCTACTTGCCTTTTCCTAATGATTGGGTTGATAAATATGAATTGAATAATTAGCTTTACTCAGGTGAAAGTCATCAAAAACATGTTTTAGTTCCTGTATGAAGGTTTCTTTTATATTATTGCAGCACTCTGTTAAATAAGAGGATCTGATGATTCCATCACTGCACTAATTTACTAAAAATATATAACTACAAGATTGTGACACTTTGTATGTATGCTATTTTATGTGGCAAGGTTAGATCAAACTTCTTAGGGAAACCTTCACCAAAAATATGAAGCCTAAAAAAAGACAAATCTGCATTGAAAGTATCATTTAGAGCTTCAGTTTTCTGGATAACTGCAACAAGTATCTGTTTAGAGTTGCTTGTTCCACAATCTTGCATGCATCAATAAATAATAGCCACAGCAGTTCTAATCTGAGGTGGGTGCATAGGTTGAAAGCTCAGTAGCCAAGCTTTCTTCTCCTGTTTTACTGCATTAATATTATAAAGTCTCAGCTCCTACCCTCTGCCTGTTGGCAAGTGAACAGATGGCAAATTTTATCCACTGTACCTCTCTAAACAGAATGTATGCCTGTTAGCAGCTGGGAAATCAGCCAGGTAGTGTTGCATCACTCTCATCACAAAGTCTGCAGAGATAAGAGCACTTCTGGTGAGTTAGATCAGGTTGCCAAAGCCAAGAGTGTTCAGATAACTTCAGAAAATCTCCAAAAA